GATGAAAATCAGCATGACACAGAGATCAGCCCATTCTACTCATCACAATGACATCACTATATTGTGAGACACGATGGAAAATGAGTGTTGAAGTATGTAGCTAGAAAGTGGAACCCTCCTCACTCCACAGACCGTGACAGACACGATGCATCCTATGATGGTGTTTCGGACTGTGGAATTTTGGTTTTTTGATCCTTTTTGGTTTAGGAGTTTTCGATTTTTGAAACTTGAGCTTCTGGATTTTTTAATATCAAATCGATTTGAAATTCTGAAGCTCGAAAAACCGATTTTTCTCTCGTAATGCAGTATATTAGCTCCTATTAGAGGCCGTTGTATGCACTTAGAAATGATTTTCTAATGACCTTGTGACTCATTAAGTTGAATATAAAAGCATCTTTATATTCATGTGAAATAGGTCTATCGTATTTCACATTTTAATCCTATAGGAATTACGCTCACAACTTTCTACTGTGGGTGAACAAGCAGCATAAATTTATTCTGATCATCGTAAAAATACATCTATTAACATGAAATTTCCTCGTCTTTCAGTCTAGGGTCAAATCAATCATCATCCGACGAACTTTACTTGTAACTTTCTAGATTCTAGATTATTTATTCTAGAGAATAATTATTTAGATTGACTTTGATCCCAAATATTCTTTACATAATATTTTTAAATCAGTGAAAATACTAAACTTTTTTTTTTACTGAGGAAAAAGAAATTAACACTAGCAGTTCAAGCTATTCGATCCTCATTCGCATTCGTATACATATGCATAATCCTTATTTTTCATTCACAGATCTGTACAAGTGACTTTTTGCGTCCCATTTGGCTTGACGGCTTCTTCACGATCCGATTCGCCAATGAGTCAGATAGACGCAATATTTCAGAAAGTGATTTTCGCGTTTTTGGATTCACCTTCTTCTATAGCATTTCACTCCTCTGCATGTACGCTCAAAACTTGGTCGACGAGATTCAAAATGCGGTTGATATGAACAGGTTTCTTGGCACAAACGCATTTTCTCGTAAGTAGAATTATTTTTCATATATGTCTTCACTTTTATTCCACAGTTTTTCTCTTTCGACAAGTATCTCGAATATCAATCTCAAATACTTTCAGTGATTTGAAGTCGATGCTATTCGAAAGTTAGTAGATGACTTTAGACATATTCCACTTATACAGTACTTAGATTGATTTGAATTTTATTTGAAAAACCTGTGGATTGCCCAGCTATGCTTTGTACTTGAATTTCGGAGACTCGATATTAAATAACACGGGTAATGATCTTCATCAGATGAACAGCATTAAGTTCATTGTTACTCCATGAAAATACGATGATGAATCACTCTGTTGAAAAACAGTTATCATTCTTGGATGATGTGCCCATTTTGATGAAGCTTAACAACACTTTTGGAGATATATTAGTCTCCTATGGAGAATATCGAGATTTTCTTTTCAAAAAAAAATATTTTGGCGATCGATCCAGTGAATTCTGAAGTAGGCTTACACGAAATTCGTCTATCAAATGGCATATATGTTGTATTGTAGACATATGAAGGTGATTGACTCCTGTTATATTTATTTATATTCGAAACTTTTTATACAGTTCAAACGATTGCTGTAGTGAGTTTGTTGACTCAACACAATTTTCTCAATGCGTTGATTGTCATACAAACAATGTTTCGCCCTCTTCTTCTTGAAAAAAAAACTTGAAAACTCTAACTTATATTTTTCCAATTATAGTTTCAAAGACTTAGATATATTCTTCACTGCTATCTTGTACTATTTATGGTTCATTCTTCTAACTTGTTTGAGATACTCCTCTCTACTTCCATATCAGATGATAGAAAGTAGTGAGGTCATGCTAGATATAGCAGGTCTTTAGATTGATTCTAAGTGTTATTTTATTCTCTTGTGTTAAGGAAGCGATTTTGAAACATATATAGAATCCATACTTATCCAAAGCATGGTGATACAACCGAAATATTATGTGACGTTTGTGCCGATCATACAAAAGCTAATCGGTGCGGCTGGATTTCAGAATGGTATGCGTTTTCAATCATTAATAGTGAATGGCAAGCCTTCTTTGCGGCGATATTCTCCTGCTCCTCCTACATTTAATGTCTGTGCCTGTAGTGTCGCATTTGATTGTCCAGATCCTTTACAGTCCGGAGGTCAGTTTTTGTGTCAGCATGGTGACAACTGCACAGCTGGTACAGTAGTCTGGAGTGTACCCGGTCTGGTCAAGTCATGCACCGATTTCGGAATACTATTGAATTCTGATTTACGCTGCTTCTTCAATCAGACCTGTTTGACTATTCTTCTCTCCATGTTCAATGTTGATATGCTCAAGCGACTGTCACTACCTTCAGCTACGCTTAATATCAAACCTTTGAATAGTTCAGCTTTGTCATCGTTTTTACCGGAAGACACACTTGGGACCATTTTCAATGAGCTGATGATTGGCAAGTGGAATTTGAGCTCAAACTTTGATGGCTACTATAACAGGTGTGCTCCAGTTACCTGTACATACAAAATCGTACAGCGAATGGATCGTGTTTATGTCGTTTCAATCTTCGGTGGACTATTTGGCGGTCTTGTCACTAGTCTCCGTCTTATTGTTCCGATTGCTGTAAAGCTTTTCCATTCGATTATCGTTCATCAACGTCGGCGTCGATCAAATATCCATAATCGACAGCATGACAGACATGAAGGTAAACAACCATTTCGTACTTAACAGCAAATCTATTTAGTAAGTATGCGGAAAGAAAACGTGTCGAACATCTTTCGGCCATTTCTCTGTGACTTTTTGACAAAAAAAAACATTTTCATCCAGAGGATGCCAGATCATGCTTGTGATGGTGTGAGAAATTATTGACACTTTCGCCTTCTATTTTTGAACAAAAAAGCCTTTCAGTGCAATTCCGAGAGAAATAAAATTTGAAGAACGATGGAATCGGTTGTATACGAATGTGAAGACTCTTGTTATGTTTATTATGATCTAATCAAAGCTCAAGGAAACACTCTACGCAAATGTTGATGATACGGAGTAATATACCATATTGAGAAAAAGAAAAATGACTTTTGAATTTAATGGATTTCGAATAGATACGAAATCCCAAAATCCTTCGATAATATCAAAGTTTGAGGTTCAAAATTTGAAAAGAATATGTCGACATGTCTGTCACGATGTGTGAGTACGCCAGAAAGTGGAGATTCACTTTTCTCATCATAGTCTTCAACATTTTTTAACTACCGTATTTATAAAATCTAAATGACTACATCCTATGCAAGACGATCATTTTATCAAAATAGTTTTCCATTTCTTGCATCAAATTCACGAGACAAAGAACTTATGAATAAATGTGCTATTTAGTTCTTCAAAATTTTTCTTTCTATGATCCAAACTTGATAGATTCAAATTTGAGATCATCATCATGCAACGCATACACCTCATTTTTAATGGACACATTTTCATAATAGAATGATTGCTTTTATTTTGTCACTTCTTAGATCTGTTACATCGATTCAATGACCAAAGAATTAAAATAAAGAAACACTTGGCCAAAATAAATCTCTTCAGAAAAGAATGTTCTACTAGTCAAATACCAGATCGCAAAGAAGTGGCACTTACATCAAGTCAGATCTATATTATTTTACTCAGTGCAGTCATGACGATACTTGCCATTTTTAACGGTTTCAGTCTCATCAATGTCATCAAAACGGTGCCATCACCTTCACTTGCCACATTTGAACAACTTCAAGATGCATATCCAGTCACACTCTCGTGTTATTGTCAAAACTCTACTGTATCGTATAGTCATTTCATATCTATCAAGTTCAAATATCATCAGGTAATTTATGTGGATCGACGATATTCATATTCACATGAGCATCATTTCTCTGTGCATCGGCAGAAGATAGCTCTTCATTCGAGAAAGAGGCCTTTTTTGGAATATGAAACGTTATTTACAGAATTGCTCATAGGCAGCCGACATGGGAGAGAAGGAGAGAAAGTGTTGCGATATGTTTTTGGTAAGGAGGGTGAAAAATTTTTTCCTCACTGAGCCCAAAAAAATTTTCGGGTCCGCTAGAAAAAAACGAACAGTTTTCATGACGAGAAGTTCGCACCCACAACCTTCCGCAATCGGACTAGTCTGCTTATTTATATACGAAGACTCTGAAGAATACATTTATAGTTTCTATGATTTTCAAACACACAGAGCTCTAGATTGTTGGTTGATACCGACACATAATACTACTCATCGAGAACAGAAAGATCTCTGACAAAACAATAACATATTAAGCTTAGTTTTTCAGATCCATAAGTGATGTTGAATGTAATATCATGTGTAGTTTACTAATTTCTAAGATCTTTCCATATTATACATTGTCCAGATCTGTTCGAGTGCATTTATCAATACAGCATGGACAACACTATTATATGGATATGGACCTTCTGCAAACAACTCTCTGCAGCTTGATCGACCTCTTCTAAGCAAGCATTTTCAAATTTTGGGCTGGATGTGTGAAGAACTAGTAAAGAACATGGATTTTCGAATAGACGCCTTCCTTAAAGACTTGTTGTGGACCACAACTGTAGTACCTCGACGAACATTCAATGTATCAGATTTCATCAACAATCTCATTCCGACCATGCCATATAGATTTCAACGGGTACAAGATTTCCTTGTTGGAATGTTTCACTTCAGTTTTTTGCCGGCAGCATTCAATACTGGTTGGTTGTTGGAGTACGGTGACGAATCGAATGGTTATCTTATACGAAGTGTACCTCGAGTATTTACTAACACTACGTGCAATTGTATGATTTCGGCAGCATGTCAGGAACCACTGCGGATCGGTCCACCTGGTCTCTTTTTACCCGGTCTTGTTGTTGGCTGTTTACCTTATGATGGACTCCGCATGTCTACACTTGAATGTTTCTTCTCATCGACTTGTATCTCTGCGATCCTTACCCATCTTGAATACTATACACAAATGGATGGATCACCGCCTATTAATTTCGTTCCACCTACAGAATTGCCCTTAAATATATCTCCATTAGACAGCTCAATACCTTCGCGTTTTTCAAAGAATACTTCAATCGGTACGCTCTTGGACGAATCCTTCATCGAAGAGTGGATAACTAGAGTTTCATACGAAGATTATTTTACAGCATGTGTACCAAGTCATTGTACTTTTGAATATGCTACACGCAATAATATGTTGTACGTGGCTACATCAATACTTGGTCTCTATGGTGGTCTTACGATTGGCTTCCGATTCATTACCTGGAATGTTATAAGGCTTTACCGATTGATGAAAAAGCATATTCGTTCTCGTCGAGTTACTGCACAATCGTGATTTAAAAAAAACAGACAGAATTACATTTGATCAATCAAATACTATATTGCGTAACTCTTTTTACTATCAAACTTCATATAATCATTAACATAAGCTTTCTCGCCT